TTGCTGCTGCTATACTGCATTCTCCAGGTTTGCCCACTTTTGCTTTCTAAACTTGAAGGGACAGAGCATCAGGTAATGACAATCTAAACATTAGATATGAGTGCTGTATTTTCTCTTGAACATCCCTCTTAACACTTCAAGTAACAAAAGATGACATTCAGATCATTTTTCTGACTTGTCAGATGCTGTTCATAAGTCCTGAAAATTCATAATAGATATTCTCAAATTATTCTATACTTAATTGCTGTTTGTGAGCAAACCAGCACTTTTATTTGGACCACTGCAGTCTCAAATGAAGCACTTGTCATTCATAATTTTTTTCTATTTATACCTGAAAGAGCCAATACACTTTTAGCATCCAAAGCAACTTATGGCAATGACTTCTGCAAAATTAAGTACTTGTGGATTTCTTTATGTGACAAATATGCTTCCTGATAAATTGGTTGCCTACTATTTCCTGTAGGAGTTCCTGCCAAAATTATTAATGAAATATTCTTGCAAGAATCAGTAGAAAAAGGAAACCACAGATATTCTACTTAACAATATGTTCAGCAGCCCTCCGTAGTGCCTAAGATTTTATTCTATCCCAGCTGAGTTTCTGGTTATGCAAACTGGGAGTTCTGGTTTAATTAATCTTCCTGTGCATTGAAGCTGTCCTGGCTGCCATTCTCCATGGTTTTGGTAGGCTGTGGTATCATTTGTAAGGGGAAATCTTTAAAAATATGTATGGTATCCAAAGAACACTCATTTCTCAGCTAAACCACTCATATTGTTAAAAAGCACAGAAGCTCTTCCATATAACAAAGAGAAGAATAAAAATCCTCTTTATTTTTTTCATGTAAATTCTAGACATAAAATAAGTTACTGGGTGGGTTTTTTGAGCTTTCCTCCTCTGAGAAATGTTCTCAGGATAACCTTTAGGCTTTTAAGCAGCATCTCTGTTTATTGCCTTTTACATGATATGGAGCTGGGGACATATTTAGATCTGAGAGTTCTGTTACAACTTGATGATCAAATTCTTTTAAAAGTGTTTCTCTTATGGTTAATGGCTTTGAGAAATCCAAAATTCAGAGCAATTTCTCTTAGGTACTGGATTGTATTTCCAAGATGTATAATGAGCTATTCTAGCAAGGGAGGTATGTTTTAGTAGAGGATGTTGAAGCATTATTTCAAATAGTTTTTTAAGTAGGTTTAGTGTCCACTGAGAGGTTTTGTTCTGCCAAAGGGCTGGTAGCAACACCTGCTGAGATATCTTGCCATCTGTTTATACATCCAAGAGCTGTAAGATTGGATTAGTAAAACTTTTGCTCATATCCTATGACCACCAATTTTTTTCTGTATTTTGGATGAAGCACCTAACTTCACAATAGCTTTCCCTACAAGAAAGTAATTCTGCGTTGGAATGAACTACACTGAGCCAAGTTCAGCTTTGCAGAGATGAAGGTAGAGTTCATAAATTCTGAAGATCTCTCACAAAATGTACTCTAGTCAAACATATCATGGATCCCAGTCATAAAATGTTTTACTGCATATGCAGATATTCTAGCATTCCTTAACACATTGCTCTTCATTTGTATTACTGACTTGGTGTGGCCTCATATGCTGTTCTTACTGATGGCATCTTCGATGAACTGTTCATTAACTCCAGATTAAACAAATTTTAGACATGGAAGTCTGAGAGCAATTCAGACTGTTTCAAGCACATTAAGGCTCCTTTGTTAGAGTCTCTGAATCCATGATGGCCAGATGGGTGGAACATTCACCAAGGAAGAAGAAGACCTTGATTTCTAAATCCTAAACTACAAGTTAGAGACCCCTTTTGTTAAGCACAAGGCACAGTTCAATCAGGAATGCAGGAGCTAGGGGGCTAAAAAGAGACTAACAAAGACAGGCTGAATCTATTGAGAATGCGATTAACTTGGAGAGGGGGAAAACAATACTGAGATCTGCTTGCAATTCCTAGTGCTGTTTATTTATTTATATCCACTGATGCTTAAATGGGAAATGCATAAACAAGTCTTTAGAGCACAGACATGTTGACTTTCAGATAAAGGTGGGATCACTGAGACAACTCTTTGTCTTGGATCAGTCACTATGAAAAAGTACATTAAGAGTTTTCATGCACTACAAGTGAACTAGTTATCCCCATAACATAGCTAAGATACAGCTTGCTTACAGTATTCCCAGTTTTAAACTGCATATATTTGTACAGTCCTGCTTTTGATGAGATCCCAAAATTAAACTCATTTATATTTGCATCAATTCTACATATTCATGATTGCAAAGTTTACACTACCCTTATACCTTAGCCTTGGTAGAATCTTACAGACATTCTAGATATATTCTAGATATTCTAAACCTTCTGAATCTTAGTCAATACATACTCCAGTCTAACAAGCAGCTGCATGCTCTGTTCCCCAGTTAACACAAAGCTTCATTACCCTTTGGGATAAAAATAAACTGCTATGTGTATTATCTTACCCATAATTCATTTATTTACAGAGTTAGTGAAACTCATAATTAACTAGATCTCTCATGGGGTCTAATTTCCTTCTGTTCTTTCTGGCACACTGGTATAAAGTTCAGCAAACAGAACAATTTGCAATGCATCTCTCCCCTAGGAGACTCATGTCATCATCTGATCACAGGTTCAACCTCTTTTATTTTTTCCTTTGTGCCCTTCAGCTCAGATTCCTGGTTGCACAGTGATTCAACTTCGCATGGAGGCATGAAAGAATTCTACCATAGAATTACATTATTGGACATTCATGATCCTTGAGGTCCCTTCGAACCTTGGCCATTCTGTGATTCTGTGATCACGGCTTTCTTTTGGCTTTTGTGGCTTGGACAGGTACACTGCTGGGCAAAGAACTGGCTCAGAGAATGGTGGCGAATGCAGTTAAATTCAGCTGGTGACAAGTCATGAGTGCTGTTCCTCAGGGATTAGTATTAGGGCCTGTCCTGTTTAATATGAAGAGAGCGCACTCTCATTAACTTTGCAGATGAAACCAAGTTTGGAGTAAGTGTTAATGTGCCTGAAGGCCCTTCAGAGAAATATGGACAGGCTGGACGGCTGGGCTGAGGCCAGTGAGATGAAGTTTAACAAGACCAAGTGCCAGGTCCTGCACTTTGATCACAACAATCCTAGGCAATGCTACAGTTTTGGGAGGGAATGGCTGGAAGACTGTGCAGAGGAAAAGAACTTGGGGGTGCTGGACAACACTCAGCTGAACATGAGCCAGCAGTGTGCCCAGCCATGAAGACTAATGTCATCCTGGCTTGTATCACAAATAGTATAGCAAGCAGGAGCAGAGAGGTGATCATTTCCCTGCACTCAGCTCTGGCGAGCCACATCTTGAGTACTGTGGTTAGTTTTGAGCTCCTTACTACAAGAAAGACATGGAGGTCCTGGAACATACCCAGAGAAGGGCAACAAAGCTTGTGAGACGGTTTGGAACACAAGACTTATAAGCAGCGGCTGACGGAACTGGGATTGTTTAGTCTGGAGAATAGCAGCCTTAGGGAAGACCTCATTGCCCTCTACATGTAACTGAAGGGAGACTGTGACAGCTGGGAGTCAGCCTCTTCTCTCATGAAACCAGCAACAGGATGAGAGGGGATGGCCTCTAGTAGCACCAGGGGAGATTCAGGTTGGATACTAGGAAAAATTTCTTCTCCAAAAGAGTGGTCAAGCATTGGAATGGGCTGCCCAGGGAGGTGGTTGTGTCACTGTCCCTGGAGGCATTCAAGAAATGTGTAGGTGTGATAGTAAGGAATGTGGTTCAGTGGGCAATATCAGTAGTAGGTGGACAGTTGGACAAGATGATCTTAGAGGTCTTTTCCAACCTTAATAATTCTATGATTCTAATTCTACTTAGCTTGTGATTACAGTGTATTCCTGGAAAGCATGCACGGGTGGTTCAGGTTAAAGCAGGATTGCACGAGGATTAGAATCCAGATTTCCCATTTTACTGCTACACCCTCTTATGACAATGCTTTCTGGCAGAAGAGTTCTGTAGCATACAAAGTAAACACTTTTTGGAAGAAAAAATAATATACAGTGGGGAACAACTGAGGGGAAAATCTCCAGCATACTGCAGGAGACAAGAAGCAGACACTGAAGACATTCTGAATTACCAGATCGGTGTGGTCAGTAATCCTCTTTTACACAAGAAACAAGGAAGAAAAAGCATAACTGCATTGAAGACATAGCTTAGTTTATGACTGGGACTTGGGCACATGTCTACTTCCATACTGCAAACCTACTTCCATTGTCCAAGAAGTTCTATTATTTTTCTCTCCTCCTTATGGATTTCTAGCATGATTTTCAACCTAAAAATGGTCTATTTCACATAGGTTTCTTTATAAAAGCTGTTGGAGACGGTCCAGAGGAGAGCCACCAAGATGATCAGAGGGCTGGAGCACCTGCCATACAAAGACAGGCTGAGGGAGCTGGGTTTGTTCAGCCTGGAGAAAAGGAGGCTGCAGGGTGACCTCACTGCAGTCTTTCAGTACCTAAAGGGAGCCTACAAACAGAAGGGGAGTCAACTCTTTGAAAGAGTAGATAACAGCGGGATAAGGGGAAATGGTTTTGAGGGAGGGAAGATTTAGTTTGGATGTCAGGGGGAAATTCTTTACAGAGAGAGTGGTGAGGTGCTGGAACAGGCTGTCCAGAGAGGTTGTGGATGCCCCGTCCCTGGAGGTGTTCAAGGCCAGATTGGATGGGGCCCTGGGCAGCCTGGTTGAATGGGGAGTTTGGTGGCCCTGCATGTGGCCGGGGGGGTGGAGATTCATGATCCTTGAGGTCCCTTCCAACCTGGGCCATTCTGTGATTCTGTGTGAAAAAAAATCATTCTGTATAAACAGTCTTCCCTTTTTACTTTTTGTTCCTCTTTATAAAAAAAAAAAAAATAACCTTATCAAATACATTAGGAAGCATGAAAGACTTGCTTACACTATTATAAACTGAATTTACATCTTCTTACCACATTCAGTTTTCAGTCCAGTGATTTTTTCCTTGCACAGTCTTCCTATAGAAGGAAAATAAAGTTAATTTAATTCATGTTTTCATCCTTGATTAACCTGATAAATAGAAAATATATATATGCAACACAGTGAGATGCATACTTCCATAAATTTAATTGAGATATATATTTTAAGAGTTAAAAGGGTTAAGAGGAGGGTCACAAAGCTGATCAGAGAGCTGGAGCACCTCTCCTATGAAGACTGACTGAAGGAGCTGGACTTGTTCAGTCTGGAGAAGAGAAGGCTGCAGGGAGACCTCATTGTGGTCTTCCAGTATTTAAATGGGGATTATAAACAGGACAGAAAACAATTTCTTACACGGGTAGATAGTGATAGAAAAAGGGGAAATTATTTTGAGCTAAAGGAAGGAAGATTTAGCTTAGACACCAGGGGGATTTTTTTCACTGAGAGGATGGTGAGGTGCTGGAACATATTGCCCAGTTTTTGGATGCCCCCTCCCTGGGTGTGTTCGATATCAGGTTGGATGGGCCCCTGGGCAACCTGATCTAGTACTTGATCTAGTGGCTGGCAACACTGCCTGCGGCAGGAAGGTTGAAACCTGATGATCCTTGAGGTCCCTTCCAACCCAAGCCATTCTATGATTCTGTGATTTATGGTGTAGACTAAGAAATGGAGGAAAATACATTTGGATAAGTAATATGGAGCAGAATGCACACCTGGTCCGGGATTGCTGAGTCACAAAGTGATTATGTCTTGTACCATGTAGTGTACATAAAAATTATCATACCCATGAATATAGTCAGGTTTGCAATCAGTATAAAGCATAAACAGCCGTCTCTTTCTTCTGTGGCTGACAGCAAAGGATACAGACAAGAGAATGAAGAAGAGAGAGGAGAGGAAAAATTAGAATTCTAAATTGTTTCAGTGGAAAAAAAATATAATCCTAAACTTATCCTTAAACACGATCATAAGAGAAAGGTATCAGAGAAAATCAGACATGGAAAAAAGTTGTTTTTCTTTGTGTGCTTAGAAAATAAGTGTGTATACGTACATTTGCAGTCCTATGCATATAGAATCATAGAATCACAGAACGGTTTGGGTTGAAAGGGACTTTTAGGATCATCTAGTTCCATCCCACTGCTATAGGCAGGGATACTGCGATCAGGTACAGAGACCCCTCTAGATCAGATACAGTGTGGGATGATTGTGGGAATCAGGCAAGATAGCTTGGAGTAATAGCAAAGTAAGAAAAATGTATTTGGGAGGTATTTTGAAGAAGGAAATGTAAATAGATTTATGAGAAGAGGGGCGAAAGAATTTTGAAAAGGGATATTTAGATGCAGTAGCTTAAAATTAATGCAAAAAAGACTGGCAGAAGAAGCATAACTGAAAAAAGGTAGGAAGAGGTAGGAAGTCAAGGAACAGTAAACAAGCAGTAGAATAGTATGCAGACAAGTTTCCTGTGGTTTTGTAACTTGGAATAAGACTATCTTATGTGCTTATTATTTTCTGAGGATTTGCAGTAAAAGGAAACATGTAGTAGAAGCATAAACGTAGGCCATAGGTCTAATTAGAGCAAATCCACAAATAATAAGATTATTTCTACTAAAAAGGAAAATACAGTTTTCACGAGCTTATTCATAAAGTATGTGCATCCTTTAGTATATCAAGTTGCATACTGCAGGATAGTGGCAAACTTCTGAATTTTGTTAGGGAAATTCTGATTTCATTACCAAATTTGCAAGATATTACTCAATATCAAGTAACAAATACGAGATGTCAAAGGAAAAACCATGAAAACAAACAAACAAAAAAGCTGAATTTCAAAACAATGCTATCAAAAATCCTAAGGACAAGAATTTGTAGAAATCCAGTATATAAACTAGCTAAATACAATTATCCCAGTCAGCATAAAAATGCTATTTCATATAAAGAAGGACAACAAATTCTAAACTACGTGATGAAAGAAAAATGGAAGAGTGCATTGCCTACCAGTAACAGGTAGCTGATAAGCCAGCCTACGTGTGTCTAAGAGAGAACAAGAGTTAATGGAATCTTCTCTTTTGGATGGAAGTTAAGCAGTATCCTTTATGTATACAGTACATGTCCAAACAAATGAGCTGAACTGCATCTCTGCCCTCAGTGGGAGACTGCTTGGCTCCATTCACTTGTTGTAACACTGAGACCTTGAGCACTCTCAGAACTGGCTGAAATTTTCAAGAAGGTTCCAAGGAAATTGCAAGGCTCAGAATGACAGAAAGTACAACTGAGTACATCTTGCTTCCTGAACAAGGGAGGCTAGAAGTATAAAAAAGCAAAAAGAGATGAAATTAATTCAAGTAGACAGTTGACTGCCACTACATTAAAGCTAAACACAGTTTGCATTTGGACTGCAATTTAAATTGGCTTCTCGGATAGCAGTACATGGCATGTCTAATTTGGACTAGAAGGCCAAAATAAAGGACACTTCTGTTAAAATAAAGTCGATGACAATGAAGAAAAGATACAAATTGGGAGGTAGAAAGCAAAACAAACCTGGACAAAAGAGATTGTGAAACAAGTGTGACAGAAAGGATTGTCACAAGGCTGTTTCTATTTCGGTGTTCAAAATCCATTAATGCATAAGAAAGATATACACTAAAAAAGTCAAGCAGCGGAAGATTTAGAAGTGATGACAGAAGTGTTATTCAGCAATAAGAGAAGCAGGCAGTTACGTCAAGAAACAATTTCAGCAGTCTCCTCTCAGGTTGGAAACACAGCAGTGACAAATAGTCTCAAGGAATCAAACCTCAAACACAAAGTGAATCCTTATAATGAGCAGGGCTCACCTGCTCTGATGCCAACATACTGTGTCTCTCTCTAACTTTTTGTCAGTATCTGCGTGGCTTCCAAGCTAATGAAATTTAACTGAAATGAGACTGACACAGGATATTTTGGCAAAGGACACTTTAACAGAGGATATTTTGACTGGGAAGGAGGACATAATGACAGGTGCTCAAACTCTTCTTATCCCACAGCTTTTCCCATTTTTTTTAATGTATTAAAGAAAAGGTTTTCTATTTTATTCATGCATCAGCTCAGAACACTTTTCTAGTACTCACAAATAAATTATGATGCGATGTTTAATTGGCCACTGTATAACCAAGATGTTATAATTTGTATAACCAAGATGTTATAATTGCAATATAATCAAGAGAGTAAGGCAAAGCAGACAACGATCACAAAAGAGAACAAATGGAAGAGCTTACCCTTGGGTTGAACTCACCAGAAGATACCAAAAGAGGGGATCTCCAGAAGAGATCCTTCCCCTCTGGTAGCCAGCTCTTAAATAGGTCCAGGAGGGGTGGAGCCTGGCTCCACCCCTTCCGGCAGCACAGGTGAATTGCCTTCACCTGTGCTCCTCTGGCTGACTCAAGGCTCACCTCAGGTGATCAATCAGAGGTTCAGGCCGTGACTCAGCAGTTCCCATACAGCCACTCAAAACATATTGTCTGCCAGCATACCAGCTGCCTGCCAGGTAAATTAACTCTATCATTCGCTTCACTTTTAATACATCTTGAATTCATTGCATGATTAATATATCATACTGAATTAAGTAGTGTAGATACTGGAGAATAGTTCTGCAAATTGAATGCATTCAATCTTATCACTAAATAAGTAAATATGCTGTAGCTCCTCATTTTTGTGGTAAAGAATATATAGCACAGACAAGGTACCAGGCAGGTAGTGTTTTCAGTTAGCTGTGTGCAAAGGAACAAGCAACAGCCCATAGAGAACTGTAGTTGCTCTGGGCCATTACACAGCAAGAGTAGTTAGATTCCATTCATTTACCACTGATGTTAACTCATCTTGTATATAAGACACAAATATTGGAACAAAGTGAATACGCTATTTGTATTTAAAGAAGAAAAAAGAGAAGCTCAGGATTTAAAAAACCTATCTGTTTGCCTCACTTATCCCAAATACTGAAGCAAATAATGGAAGACAGTGTTATTAAGCATTTAGAAGACAGGAGGAATATGTGAAAGAGAACATGTACCTGCCAAGTAAGAATTGTGACAAGCTATCTAATTTCCTTCTTAATGATTAATAGGACTTGAGAAAATGAGAAGTGGAATCTAACAGGATTTCAGGAAGGATGTTTTCTTATGTGGTATGCTCATTTATATGCAAACTACATTGACTGAAAAAGAAATATATCAATGATTTACTGTCAAAGTAGAGAACTATTTTAAGATTCTGTCCTGGTCCAATACCATTAAATATTTTAACTCATAACTTGGGGTATTTGTTAAATTTGTCACAGATTTCATGCTGAAGGATCTATAAGAGCAGAGAGGGACAAAATGAGAGTTTTAAATGAGTTTGGTGAATTGGAAGAATAGTCTACAAAAATAGGACATTGTTAGTTTGGCAATGAGAAACTGCTCAGATAAGAATAAACACTGTATGGGTAGTAAACACGCATTTGTAGTAAAGGGTAATAATTATCAGTGTTAAAGTGTACACAAATCTCTGTGAACTATAGTATAAATAGGAGATGTGTGGTGGTAGAGCTACAGTTTGCCAGAGAGCCTTCATTTACCTGCTACAGTGAGATTATGGTTCCCAACAATCAAGAAGTATGTATGAATGGCCCATCTTGTGATGGTAAAGGTACAGACAAAAGGATATTAGACTACTTCAATGGCAACACTCACATTTTGAAAAGGAAATGAAAGGTTGGAATAACAAAAGTTACTTCAGGATGGAGACTTTAGGTAAAATCATGGTATAGGCCAGGAGTCAGGAGTCCTTGAATAACCTCAGTTAAGAGGGTATCAGAAGCACTTAAAAGCAACACAGTGGTGTGATGAAATTGCTGGGAAGATACTAAAATACAGAAATAAGCTCATAAAAACAGTAATCATGTCCAAAAGAGGGAAAAACCAGGACAGTCCAAGTGATCTTAAGCGTAAAATCACAGATCAGTACAAAAACCTATTTTGAAGAAGCCCTAAGAAATGCTCAACACCTTTTTATCAGAAAGAAGTGGTTCACCAGA